GTTGTCTTGCCTGCTGCGTCATGCTTGCTTGTGTTTGATTACGGTGAATTTGGAGGTACCAGATCCTGACAAACGGAACCACGGCCGCTGGGTTTGCTGTTGGATTTTGATGATTTGGTTGATGGAGGTTTCATTTGTTCATGTGCTCCATTGTGCTCCTGCTTTTTGTTCATTTGATTCAACGTGAGGAACCTGACTAATCTGACTAGGAGGAAACCAACATGCCTGGGCTTCCAAGTGCAGAAGTGGTCGAGACAGGCTGAAGATGCTCCAAGTGATGCCAGGCACAGCCGAGACGTCAACGAAAGGTGAGCTTCCGTGGGGTGTTTAGACAACGCATTTTATCATTTGTGTGACTTTTCCTGGGCGTATACTGATGTATACTGTATACTGTAGTCAAGTCATTTGTTGATGATTGAGCATGGATCAGGAAACAACATCCACACAAAGACCACCACTTCTGACTATCTGGCTCTGTAGAAGCCAGCTGTTTGGGGCTCCCAATGTGAGACTCATTTCCGGGAAAAAGCACTTCCAACAGTACAGAGGTCCTTGATTTTTCACTTCTCCCAATTCTTTCAACACTCGGCCAGATATGCCCAGACTTCGGATTTGTTTGTCCAGCCACCCCACGAATCAACGAGTATAAACATCGTAAGAGCAGGCTTTAATTTTTGGACTCTCGAGCTCAGCGAGTGCAGGATTTGCTGCATGCCTAGTTTCTTCGTTGCATCTGAGCTTCTGCGCGGGTTCATGGGTATTCCAATATCATGACGCAGCAAAGGAAAGGACCCTGTGATGAGGCAAGCTTTGTGGATGCCGCTCCTTGCAGCAATTGCGCTCCCACAAAGAAAACTTGTGCGACATGTTGCATCTTCCAGACACTCCAGACTGGAAGAGCCTTATATGAGCCTTATATCTTCCCAAACAAATGGCGTGTATTGTTTCCGGTCTATCGCCAGTCCGTCGAATCCTCCTGGTCCGACCGCGCTCCGATCGCGTCGCGGCGGGACACGCACAGGAAGACGGCGGTTCGCGAAGCGCTGGAGCGCAGACGACCGGAGGGCGGGGCGTTTCTACGATGTGTTTTTGGCGGGTTTTGCCGAAAACAGAAGCTGGTGAATTGGGGAGTTGGCTTTGAACTGCCTTGCTGGGGAGAGCCAAGAACTGATGGAAGACATCCACGACTTGCGATCACAGACTTTACGGGGCTTCCCCCAATATGGGGCAGGTTGTGAGCAGGATATCAAGAAGCTCAGCTTCTCTGAAGAGACCCCGGATGCACTTGGGGCGGGCGGAACAGGAGAATGTGTCAAACCCATTTAAACACCTATGATAGCATAAAACTAGTACTCAAGATCACCTGATATTTGAAGACAGTACCAATCCCAGAGAATCCAGGTCATCTGCATTGGGTCAGTTTAAGCCAATTCCCCAATCCAAATGGATGCGGCTGGACAGGCAGCCGGCCAGTCCAGCCGCCTCCATACGATGGGCAGATGCAGGCGCTGACGCTCCGCCCGGGTTGATGATGGTGATTGAGCTTACTGTATTGTTTGGGTTTCTTCATGTTTCTTCCATCAACTGTCACCCGCTAAAGACTGGGGCTAGCACGAGCACGAGCACTGATAATATGTGTGACTTTCGAGTGATGAGTCCATGCAAAGGCCAAGATCCTGAGCAAATTGATGCGCAACATGTTTTTGTTTTTCATGTTTTCTTTTTGACACATGCTGGGTTTATTCAATAAAACAGATTCCACGTTCCTGAACCTGTGTGACAATGTGACACATTGTTTAAAGATGAAACTTAAGTTGCGTTCACACACACAATTCTTTGAGGTTGCCACATTAAGTTGCGTGCACACTGAGATTGTTGCTCGCAAGAGCTAGTATCAGTACGAAGTTCCCCTTGACTTGAAGAAACTGAATGGCGCACGAACCGAAAGGCAAGGAAGTCCGGAAAGTTGAAGGTGTTTAACAATTTGTTTCAGTGCACTAGCCGCTTACTGCAGGAAACAACGCATTGGACAGCTTGTGAACAGTTTGGAAAATGCAGGTACGTGACTCCGGCGTCCCAGAGTCATGTCACATCCGATCAGCAGCGTCTTTGTTAGGCAGTGACTGCTGAAAGGACCACTGCCCCCCCTGCCTCTTTTTTGCGTTGAGAGACTGTAAGTTAGTAGCGATACCAGGAGCCCTTAGTAGCAAAACCAGGGGCCCTAGTAGCGTTCTTTATGACTCAAAACCTTGGACACAGGTGTGGACACACACAATTCTTTGAGGTTGCCACACTGGCGTGTGCCTTCGCCAGTGGACGGTTGGGGATTGCAAGTGCTGACGTTTTAGATGGCAGTGGGGTGTCTAAGCGAGCGCAGTACCCCTAAACCATTGAGTGTTGTACGTTTGCTTCCCAAATGAGGCTGTTTGTTACAAGAATGTACAGTATTTCTATTTGGTATAAAACCTATGTTTGTGGAATTGTATTCTGTCAAACCCACCTAACCAGAAACTCCGACAAAAACATATAGTTGAGAAATGATCAACGGAACTTCGAAGTTGTTTGTCACATGAGTTTATTGCTAGGATAATGTTTCTGTGACAAGCACCAAGATCCTGTGAGATTCTCCAGTGGCATGGTCCAGAGGTTCAAAACATGTTTCCAATGCTTATAAAAAAATTCATGTTGTGTCTTATCTTGGTCCAAACTCCCAGAAAGCTTTTGAGATAAACAAACTTGGCCCCTGATGTATCACAAATATCTTCTCTTTGGTGAAGCAAAAGGCGCTTGTCTTCTAGTAGCTTCTTGTTACTAGTAGTAATGCCAGGAGCTAGTAATAGGGATGCCCTTTGTTACTAGTACCGATGCCGTTTGTTGGAAACACCGAAGTCGATTTACCCAGAAGACCTCTTCGCAGGTTCGCCTGCGAAAAAGACCTCTTCCGCGGCCTTCAAGGCGTTTGGTGCTGCGCGTTTTCGAGCCTATATACAGAAACCACTATATAGTGTGAAAGGGGTGTTGCAAAATTGCGAACAATTGAATCCGTTTGGTCATTTCGGCAAAATATGTTCACTGATTCGTTTGGAAAACGTCCCTGGCAACCATCACCCCATTCACCCTCTACCCTGACTGGATTGCACCGAATATTGTTTGATCTTGAGTGTATTTTATCTTCAATTGGAAGGACCCCCAATCAAAACCATATCTTTTCTGTAGAACCTCGGGTTTTCGTGCGTCGTGGATGCCGTGGATGCTGCGTGATCCCGATCCGTGCCTGACCATTGGCTTCGACCCACGAATGCCGAGGCCAAGCGCAGACGCCTTCGGCACGCGCGGAGACCACGCGCCAAACGGCTCACTTCCGTCGTCGGGCTCACGGAACGCACGGCGCCCGACAGGCCAAGCGTGCAGCCCACTATGATGAGTTCCGCGTCTTGCAGGTGGAGCATCTTCCGACGGAGCTTGGGCTGTGGAGGTTCTTCAACTTGACAGAAAGGGTTTTCTTCGCTAGTTAAGGGTTTCCAGTGTCCGCTTGCTAGTAATAGGGAGGTGTTGTTTAGCAGGACCTCAGAACAAAGGTTGTGGACGGTGACAACATGGGACAACTATATCCAAAGACATGTTGTTTGGAAATTGCTGAAATTGCATGAAATTGCTGAGTTTTGTCTTCCATCCACTGTGGATGGTAACATATCAGACTGCAGACTCAGGAGTTGGGTATCAAAAGATGCAGATCACCGGAACTGGCAGCGACAAAAAGAGCCTTTGGGAGTACACCCTGGAAAGTTAACATATGCAACCTGAAAAACCACTGGATTGTAGATGTTTGGATCGTCTTCCAGTCTGGTCCATGCCGTTTCCATGTGGGTCTTACGACCCAGGTGTACGTATTGTGGTCGAGCAAAGATCCGAATCTCGGCTGAGCTAAGCTGCATTCAGCGAGGAATCACCGTCGTTTTTTAGGGATGTTTGGTTGAGCTGGTAGGCCAACCTACCTGACTGTCATCCTACTCAGGAGACCAAGTTCATTCAACATCATGAATATACCCCAAAAAGGTACTGTAAGGTAAGGTATCAATCATTCAACCATATTGGACCTACTCAAAGATGGATGATATGAAAAACCTGAATCATCCGGTTGAAAAGGTCGTCCGATGGACAAATTCACCTCGTCCGGCCTCCTGGTCAGATCGATCTGCCTTTTCAGCTCAGGAATCGTCCCCAGGAATCGGCACCAAAGCCCATGTGAGCTGATTTGTTGTAATCGATTGGATTTATATGGGAGTCGTTCTAAAACCAATGTGATGTTTTTTGGGGGAACCATAATTTTGAACAACCCCCCATATGATTTATGGTTGACCTGTGATAGTTTTGTTTAACAGCAAAACATGAGGCAGTCCTTTGATCGGCCCCCCTTCAGATGGATCAAAAAAAGCGCCTGCTAACGTGTGCGCTCGACTAAGACGCCACTGGACTCTTCATTCGGGGACTCTTCACCGAGCGGTCGCCATCGGTCGCCAGTTTCGCGAGCGGGAGGCCATGCGGCAACGATCCGCGAATGGGAAAAGCTCCGAGAGTGAGGAGTCCAGTGCGAAATGAGGCGAAAAGAGCTCCGACCATCATCTGGTGAGGCGAAAAGCTTGTGTAGAGACCGGGAAATGAGAGGCTGAGGTGATGGATGTGGACAAAAGTGTAAGTGTAAGACCATGTAAGACCTAAGGACTCCAAGCACCTAGAGTCTAGAGGTTTTGGAGATTGGTTCCATGTGCCAGAGACATCCAGAGACCCGATTTTCAATCATAGTCGTTTGAAGCGCATGATCTTTTTAGTAAACAAAACACATTGTTTTGAAGATTATGCGGTTGGAGGAGTTGCACAAGGGTCAATGTTTGTAGGATCTCAAACAATCACTGGTTACTATGTTTCTTTCTGTCCAAATGATTAGGCTGTTCCAACATGTTCCAACAACATGTTCTGTGGATGCTGTAGTGGTTTTAATGCTGGGTGTCCGGAACAACACCCTCCAAAGTCTGCTTGAGACACTGGGAAACACCAAGAGGTCAAGCTACTGACATGCAAAACAGACCAAACGGCTTCCTTTTTACAATTAGGAATCCAAGAGCTTGAAGCAACTTTTTGCACTAGTGGAGGCCTTTTATTTGACCACTTTTGACAGAGTTATGTACTTGGAACTAATGGTCATGTAGAGATTGTTTCGATTGAAATTTTGGGGATTGGTCCCTTTTCTGGTGCGTCAGCAGAAGATGTGTATGTGCCTTACACCTCACCATTGGTTATGAGTGCAGAGGCTCAACTTGTTTGACTCATGTGTTTCACCCAAAAAGCGTTTGTGTTTGACAAGAGGACTACCTGAGGTCCAACCCCCATTTCATACAGACCGTTTGTTTGCTTTATTCGGAACATTCCTGGGTGCTTAGGTTTTTGCTCTAGTTGCACATGCCTGCTTTTGGTCGGTGTTTTGGTTGATATACACTGCTTTATAGTTGTATATAACTATATAATGGTGTATATATATATATATATGTGTATTATAGTTTTTTTTGAAAGGGCAGCCCGGACATCCACCCTTAATTTGCAGTGGAATTTTTGGGTTTCACCTATTGGTTGTATGTTAAAACATAATGCTGAAGTAGGTGAAACTTGGAGCTTTGAGCTGGCTTTCCTTGGGCCCACGGAAGTCTACTGACTGGGTACATGGCTAGCTAAGTCCAGCTAAGTCAAAGGTAGACTTACAAGTACTTAGTAGTGACCTTTGCTTGGACATAGCTAAGGTGGACTCAGCTTGGACCTACTAAGTTTGAGCTAGTCCAGGCCAAGTCTAAGCTACGTCCCAGCTGAGTGATCTGACAGTTTTCTTTTTGATTTTTCACGGGACTATGTCAGTATTTGGAGTGTTTTGCGAAGATTTTGGAATGTTAAACTTTGAAAAGAACTTAAAACCATGTTTTACAGCTGAAAGGGGGTATCATATGTATATATATATATATGTATGTGATATGCATGTTTGCATGTGTACTACGTATGCTTCAATCTCCGTTATGTATGGAGGTATTCGTACCTACGCCTACCTAGGTGTAGGTATGATCAAAGATGCCTCGGACTCTTAAGAGCAATCTTTGATCATACGTATAGAAGGCCGATGTGACAAAAGATAGGAAGTATAAGAAGGACATTAAGCGAGGCAAGTGCATGCTTTGGGAGCAGGGGTGTGGAATGCCTGTCCGTGGACAGTCGTCCACCTAGATAACGTCAGCCCTGCACTAGCAGTGAAAAGCGCCCTGGCCCCGGAGCAATACACAGCGGACTGGACACCCCTGGCGACCAAGCACTTACAGTAGCCAATCGGAAGATTGTGTTGCACACGGACTCAGCCAAGAGCTACAAGACCAAGGTTCCAGCAATTGTGCACGATTCCATCGTCCATTGCACAACGAAGAAAGTTATCAAGGGCAAGGTCACATGGTCGCCTCCTCAATATCTCCGCGTGGTCACTCATAAGCTTCCAGGACAGCACACCTTGAAAGTGAAAGCAGGGACACAGCACATAGATCGGGCATGGTGGTTCCTCAAGGAAAGGATCTTCCGAAATCATTATGTACTCGATAAAACAATTCGCATGCAGATCCGTGCCGCCCAGTACGAATACTGAAACTCACGGCCAGGACATGTGGTCCAAAACATGCGACTTAGACTTGGTCAAAGAGACTATGTATACCATATCTTCAAAATGAAGTGATTGTTCTGCGACTTGGTCAGAGGGACTGTGTTGCCATATCCTCAAAAGAAGTGATTGCTCTGATTGGTCATCTGGGGCTGTCCAAAAAGATCTTCCGTTTCTTGCGCGTATCCATCTCATGCATTGGAATGCATCCATGCCTTCATGGTCTTGTGTTTGTGTGCCATTTGGCAGCCTGGCAAAAGGTTCATGTTTTGATTGACCATGCTGTATGCTTTGTCTATCCTTATCACATCCTATCATCATGTCCTGTTTGCTCGCACCATATCTAACATATGCTACATGACATGGTCTAGCATGGGGGGCTGTATATATATATATATATATTCATAGAAGGTTAGAGACTTAAAGCACGGGTGACTTATAGCGTGCTTACTAGGTTCCAAGTCGAAGTTCGTGATGTATGGAGTAAGTAGCTACCAAATAACCTGGGGCTGTTGGTTTGTCTGGCATTGAGGTGACATCGCTCAATCTCCGTTTGAATCTCCACAGGCCGTTGAAAAGGACCGATTTGGATTCCTTCACAGAAATCGTTTGGCCCGCTTTCGTTGCTGCATTGCTCAAGACGAAGATGCGCCATTGCGTCGCTGGGTTTCTCCGCAGAAGGACTGACCTTGAAACGACAACCTCTAAGAGTCCACCATCATGCATGTTTTTGAGTTGTAGTATTACCAACATTTACCAACATCAACCCCTTTGAACCACGATGTATGTGTTTCGGTTGTAATGATGGCCAGTACTAAAATCAAAACCTCCGGCACAACCTGCCTTTCAGCGAACGAAACAGATGATCAACGCCGAAATCCGCTCCGAAGGTGCTGAGGCGTTGTGTCGAGCTGCGGGTGCCTTTTTTGTGCCAGAGCGTGAGTTTTGAACATGGAAAACATCATATTGTGTGTAGGATTGTCCGTATGGCTTCGGAGACACACGTTCGCGCTGCCGGTTGTGCAGCCCGGGGGAGTCTGCATTATTGACATTGTGGGTGTGTTCGTCCGTGTGTCTGGCCCGACCGAGAGATACAGACAGACAGACCGATACAAGAAAGACAGACAGACCGAGACAGACAGAGCGAGACAGATAGACTGAGACAGATATATAGACCGAGACAGACAGACCGAGGTTTTTTCTTGTTCAGACTTACTCTTGGTACTCTTAGGCGTTCATACCTAGGTGGGCCTGTGGCATGTGGCATTCAGTTCAGGATGCATTTCCTAAGTGTGTCTCTCCTAGCCAGAGCCCAGGGTGTACTCGAGGAGTGTCCCCTGTGGCCCCTTCGAGCGGGGCTTGTCTAACGCTTCCATTGCCCGGAAACAGAGCAGCTCGCAGCGAGCGTAGGAGGCTTACGCCAAAGTTATTTGCCAAGATTTGATGAATTATTGAGTACAAGTAGGGAACCTTCGGGCACGCCATGAGGTGACCATAGCGGTCTGAGCAGCCAGCCTTTTGGCAGTGCGTACGTGGCCGCAGCGGCCGTAGATCTCTCAAGACCCGCGACCTTAAATGCACACACAGCGCGTACACTCCAAGCCAGGCAGGTCTTCCTAGAACGCTTTAGTGGGGTCTGGCTTCGTTGGTTCCCGGCCCCTCCATTTGGTTCCCCTTTTCATCCTACCCCGTTCACATACACTTTCTTTCCTCCTTTTGTTTCATGTCTTTCCCTGCTTCATGTCCTGTCATCTCATTCCTTTCTTTCTCTTGCGTGCACAACGGCCTGGCCGTTGGCAAGTGCGCGCACAACTTACTTTCAACGCAGGTTTTGACAATGAGGTTTGGTTCATTGGTTGTCCCTGTGCGAATGGTTTCCCCTTCATCGCGTCGTAGATAGCTGTTGGGGGGGGAAATAGGTAGCAGCTACGAACACGGTGTATCCGCGCGGGCGGCTTCGACCGCGAAGCAGTGTGAATAGATCAATAGCGGTGGAGTGGAGAGTCCACGCGAAGTTCTTCATGAAGGACAGGCACAACTTTTTGTCAGCACCACACATGGGAAACTCCGACAGCCATGCAGCCTTCGCCGATGGAGTCAGGTGTCTCCGAAAGGGATTGGGCGCATTTTTACTGCGCAAGTATGAGCACAGATAAATTTTCCCATGAAATGCACAGACGAGTTCAACCCGGTTTGTGTTGGTGACTATTCTTGGCATGTGGGGTAGATCCCTCCGCATGTTTAATTTGTGTTTTCTACGGTGCGTGAACGGAATGTTCCTATAGCATCTAGGCAGTTGGTTGTGACACAAAAACGTCCAGGAAATGCATTGAAAAACCAAACTGTTTGCAACAAACCATTGCACTCCAGATAGTAGTGTTTGTGCCAAGTGCAGCTACATGAACCATGCTAACTGCGGAATTATGTCTTCAGAACTCGTTTGGTTCCATATCAACCTCGGGAAGGTCTACTACATCCCAAATGCAAAAACTCATTGAGGCTCCTCATACAGCATGCATGCTGACTTCAGTAATTTCGCCAACAATTCCAAAAAACTAGCATCGTCCAGTTCAAGCGGCCATTGGGCATGTTGCAAGGCCCTTTTTTGTAGCTAGCCAGCAAGCAGAACTTGAAGTGTTCTATACCTTCACTTCGTGGAGATCCCACAAGTGAGTTTGTTTGGGTAGTGTCGCTTATAAATCATAACCGTACATGTTTGGGTAGCCAGCAGGATATCACCTTGGGTGACCAATTTTTTTCTAACATGTTTTTCTTTTGAATCAGGCAGTTATGATCCTTTTCCAATCTTGAACAACAACCGTGATCCACAGACCAGATGTGATTGATTCAGTGCTACACGGAAATCAGGCAACCAGGACAAAATGTATACCTCTATTGTTTGGTCAAATTCCCTGGTTAAGGTGAACCTACATATAAGGCTTGTAGATAGTC